TTCTCTGTCCCTCTGAGAATAGGAAGAGAGTTTCCTTGTAGTACAGTCTCAAGATGTCAGTTGGAGGCTGTCAGTCCACTTCTTACTGACTTTTCCTTCACCCTAACCTTAATTTTTCAGCTAACGGTTTGCGAGAAGATTATAAGTTTCATCACACCTTCAGCAACGAGATTGCAAAACTACTGAAAGCATCTCCAGGAAAACTGGTTGTCATGCAGCCAGAAAAATTTCAGTCAAAGCATGAGCCAAAGATGCACGTTCTGAATCTTAAAGTGAGTAGCTGATGCAGAGCTGGAAAGTTTGTGCTCAGACTGAAGGTTCTCTTTCCTTGTATTTGTGATCAGTTGCCATCCTGTTGGAAGTACTCCCACTAGATATTTGAGGCAACTGTTTGTCCACTGAAGCTATATTGCTTTTTTCAAGAAAACTTTATGAAATTAGCCCAGATGTTGCATTTTCACATAATAATTTTATCATTACAATATTTGAAGAGTATGGTGACAGTATTGTTTATAACATGCCCCTCTATCTCGTTCATGTATGCATTAATGTTAGTTTTCAGTAGTGTGTAACAGAAATGCCTCTTAAATCTCTTTGTCTGAACCTTTCTCGCATTTTTTTTTCTGAACAGGATTCTACAGACGGGTCAGAGATTAAAGAGCATGTGCTAAAACATGCTTTGCCTCTCGTTGGTCATCGGAAGCCTTCCAATGATGCTAAGAGATATGCTAAGCGTCCTCTCGTGGTGGTCTATTATTCTGTGGACTTTAGTTTTGACTACCGTGTTGGTAGGTTGCTGTGGTTACCATTCCTCCACTTTTGAGAGGAAGCAGGCAGTAAGTAACTAGAAATTGCCAATACCATTGTGTTCTGGTTTTTCAGCTACCCAGTACTGGAGAGGCAAAGTCCTGGAAGTGGCCAAGGACTTCCCCGAATATGTGTTTGCTGTTTCTGATGAGGAGGATTATTCTTCTGAAATAAAAGATTTGGGCCTGCTTGAGAGTGGAGAGGACGTCAACGTTGCCATTCTGGATGAAGGTGGCAAGAAATATGCCATGGAGCCAGAAGAGTTTGACTCTGATGTACTCAGGCAGTTTGTGCTGGCGTTCAAAAAAGGTACAGTTTCTAAAATAGTGTTCTCTAAGCTATTTGCTCTATTTACCCAAGAGTTTTTCCTGAGGCAATGGCTGAAATAAAGTCATACGTGCAACCCTTGAAGCGTTCTGACTTGAAGCTTCTGGATGTTTCTTACCTTTTTATTTTTTTTTAAACTTTGGTTCATGAACTTCATTGCTTGGATTATGCTGTGACTTCTAGCTATACTCTAAAACTGAGTGTGTTTGGCAAGCCTGAAATGTTCCCGTGGCTCTGAAATGTGAGCTGATCATTCATATTTGGGACCTCTGTAATAAATCACTAGTTAGTACCCTGTGGATGGGCAGCCATAAAAAGAGGGAGACATGTTCTAGGGAATTGCGAAACAAATTGTTACCCATATTTCACAAGGCTCTTAGGCTAAAAGGTCACCAGCAAACCAGCTTGTGTTTCAGGGGCAAGTTCATTTGCTGGTGCAGTGATTTTTTCCCTTGCAGGAGGATGTACCTCTGCCCTTTCTTAGGGCAGATTGTAAGGGCTGCTCTTGCCATATTCTAACAGTGCTGTGTGTTTTTCTTTCTTCTAGGAAAACTGAAGCCAATTGTGAAGTCCCAGCCAGTGCCAAAAAATAACAAAGGGCCTGTGAAAGTGGTAGTGGGTAAAACTTTTGATGCCATAGTAATGGATCCAAAGAATGATGTTCTCATTGAGTTCTATGCCCCGTGGTGTGGACACTGCAAGAAACTAGAACCCGTGTATACAGAGCTAGGCAAAAAATACAAGAATGAGAAAAATCTGGTTATAGCCAAGATGGATGCTACTGCCAACGACGTGACAAACGACCACTACAAAGTGGAGGGATTCCCCACCATCTACTTTGCTCCCAGGGACAACAAGAACAACCCTATTAAATTCGAAGGCGGGGACAGAGATTTAGAGCATTTGAGCAAATTTATAGAGGAGCATGCGACAAAACTCTCCAGAACAAAAGAAGAGCTTTAGATAAGATGAGGGTGGTGAAGAAAAAAATTGTTTTTTCATTGTAGTTAAAATCAAGTTACTGACAAAACTTCGTGAGAGAAGAGTTTAAGCAGTTTGAGCAAGGAGATTCCTGAGCAGTAAAGTAATTGCAGTATCTTTTTTTTTTATATATGGCAGAAGAGGTTTTTTCTGGACACTGAACTTAATACTCTAATATGAATGTCTTGTCTTAGTTATGGTTTTGATCTTTGAGAAAAATACATCCTTTATTTTTTGTGACTATCTTGAGCTTTATTCATTGACTCAAATGCAGCTGTTTTTAAGTTAAAAGATACTACCAAAAAGAGAGAAGCAGATTTCTCAGCCAAACAGATTTCTTTGTCTTACTTGTTGCTATGGTTACTGGGGTGAGCAACCTTTTCAGCCAGTCTTTTTTGTTGTGTTTCTGTATACCTATTCTTTTGACTATATCACTGTATTCATTGAGGAGGAAAAGAATGGAGGTTTTCTAAAGTGTGGATGGATTATTTGGTCCTATTGAGATAAGACACAGTGACTTGCTAACCAAATATGCTCTAGACCTGTCTGTTTTAGCTTTTTCCCTCTCTGTAGAGAGAGTGGTGCTAAAATAGAAAGTTTTTCTAATTTACCTCGCTTTAGTAGTCCATATTGACCATTTATATCTTAGTCTTCCTAAATACGTTTTGGAGTAATTGGAGTGTGGCAGAAAGAACATTTAGTGGGTGGAAATGCTTGGATTCTGGTGTCAGACCTGCTGCCTTAACAGGGGACTGTTCTCCAGTGACTGCTAACAACCCACACAGCAGAGCATGACTATCAGTTATTCTTGCAGAGGTGTGTGGGACTGCATGAAGGCTTCCCCTTCATTAATGGTTTAGCTGAAGCTAGCGAACAAAGCTCACCAGCAGATGATGAATGAGAGGGGCAGTATCAAATCTCCAGAGAGTATTGCAATGTGCCTGAATGCTATTCAGCTCCTGTTGTTTATCAGCAAAAGCTGGGAAGCCAAGCAAGCAAGTGTTAGAGCAGTGTAATCATTCACTTCAGGCCCTGGCATTGTCAATCTCCTCTTTTCACATTAGAGGGCTTTTTTTTTTTTTCCTACTGTACTTAAATGTACAGGTGTCTGTTAAGCTTAGGCAGTATTTCACCTTACCAAGTGCATTGTCTTCCCATCAATTGCCATTTCTGTCTGCAGCTTTTCTGTAGAGCCTCCAAAGGCCATAATCTGTGATAAATGTGTTGTGCAGGCAACAGGAGTGAGGTCAGACTTAGCTGAGCACCAGAGGTGACTTTTTTCTGCTTTAGAAAGTATTCATATAGGCCAAGTAGCAAATTCTGTCTTGTCTTCCAGTGATATCAACTCAGTTCTTCAAAGAAGTTGGCACAGACTTTTCAGATCGGTTCTTAAAGCATAGTTTAGGTTGTATCCTTAAGCAAATATCTCACAAAATGCTCCAGGGAACTAAACTGCTCCTGCCTGTAAGTTAGTTGCAGACTTTCAGGGTTTTGTTCCAAAATAGATGCTGCTTAATCACCAGGAGGATATGGATAAATAGGGAGCATGTGGTGGGTGGGTGAAAAGTCCCTTATTGGTGGTAAGGACTACAGTCAGGGCTGAAGCTCCATTCTTCTTGGGACAGTAAGTGTTAAAGTTGAGCATGACAGTTTCTCACATCTCTTCTTGTAGGTGGTAAATTATAAACATTGTCGTTGCCAATGCTGTACTGTTTCTGTAAACTTCTTCCTCCTAGCAGGAGCTGACACTACTCTGGGTTGAAACCAACCTCTCCAGCCTGCTGGGAGCCCCTGTGGCACTGAAATGCACAGGGCCCAAGGGAGTGTCCAAGTTTTGCTTGCTCAGTGCTCCTGTCACATGACTGTTTCTTACCTGCACAGTGGAGGCAGCCTGGTACATACACAGTTACTTCAGGACTGTGCTCAAAGACCTGAATTTTGTTCAGGACCACCAGTGCTTAAGTCAGAGCTGAATAAGGAATACCTTAGCTGCAGTGTTGCTTACAGTGTCTTGACAGCTATACGTGCAAAAGCAAGCAGTGTTACCCCAAGTAGGTTATGTGTTTAGGTTATGAGCAGAAGAGGGAATGAGGATTTGTTCTATCCTTACACTAGTGTCACCTGGACGTGTTTCCTGTGAGTCCTTGGCTTTGCCACACTCCTTGGCATCTGCACATCACAATAAAAGTGTTTATTACTTCCCAGCAAGATGAGGATACTCTTGCTTCTCAACTTTAGGTAGAGTCATACTGGAAAGCAAACTGCTTTCCTTAGTTCCTGTATCCTACCCCTTGCTGTGTGCACTACCCACATCACATCAACCCTCTGTGAAACTCACTGGGATAGCTACATCATTAGCACTGTTACCTCTGTAGAGAAAGTGATACTGATGTGATTGATGCCTTCTAAGGAGAACAGCTCATACCATCTTTTGGAATTTTTTAAATGTATTATGCGTGTCTGCTTTTCCCTTCCTGGTTCATTAGGATGCCTTTCTAAACATTCTACATTCTTTATGAAGGAGTTGCCTGAGTGCTACTGATTAGCCTTGGTTTTCCCTTCTTATAGAAGAAAAATAAAAGTGCATGCAGTGCCGAAGAATAAGAGAGCTCCCCTCACTTGCTCTTAATCAGCTCTTAGCTGCATAAGGATATGGCATCATTTCTGATTCCAGGTGGAAGAAATCCTGCGGTTTACGCTTCATCACAGAACTGATTTGTATAATACTAACAGTTCCTGGGTGGGCTCAAAGGAGCCTGGGCTGGCATAAATATTTCTCACATGTGCGTCCTCTAGAGAACAAATTTATTTCTGTAAACTGTAGTACATCAGTAGTCAGACTTGAGACTTCTTCAGGGTCAGTTCCTTTCCCTGAAGGGTCAAGAACTAAGGTAAGCAGGAACTGTAGCTTGACTGGTGTTCCTTGAGGAGTGAGTTTGTCTATACAGTCTTTGGGGCAGTAAATATAGCCTGGGATCTCGATACTGCATCAATTGCTAGCTTTTTTGATGCTGGTGGAGATTTGTTACCAGTAGAGGGTTTGCGATCAAATTATTACTTAGTTTCTACTCTAAGCAATTTTCTACTTCAAAACTATGAATTATGATGGTGCCTGGGTATGGCCTAAGATTGGCTGGTAGCAAGCAAGCAAGGCACTGCAGGGTGGAGACTGCTCCACAAAGTTGACCTGTCCTCTTTTACATGAGGCTATGTGTTGAGGAAATGGGCTTCTGAAAAGTAGAGCATGAATAAATGATACAGGTTAAAGGCTTCTCAGAAAGTAGCATTAACTGTGGCGGTCAGACTGGTGTCTTTTCTTTTCTGGTAGGCAAGAGCGGCCACTGCAAGCTGTCCATGCTCCAAAAGGCTTCTTGCTCACAGCCTGCATTAGTAATGGGCTGGTCAGAGGGTTGAGTGTTGCAGTCTGTATGCCCAGCCCTTGGTGTGGGGGTATGTCAAGCCCTGTGCAAACAAGTTTGTAATCCACTTAGTCAAACTGGTATAGACCCTTGTGTCTGTTATGCAATTTGGCTTTGGTTTGCTGTGCTTAGGTTGCAAAACCCCCTTTTTCGGTGGAGATCAGGGATCTGTGAGCAAGCCTGGCCAAAGCCTCTGAAACGCTGTAGCATCTTGGCTCAGTTGTCAGGCGTTTCTGAGACTTCAGCTAGTGGTGCTGCACAGCTCGAAGTGAGGTGCTGCAGGAACTGCTGCACATCCCGGCAGTGCAGTTGTCAGGGGAGGCCTCTCAGTTGCCGGCTACGAAGAGGCTTCCCTTCTTTTCCTGCCTGGATCCATGGTAGGTCACATGAAGCCGTGCAACCATGGGCCGGAAAAATGGTGTTCTGCCATTCATTAACTGTTTTGATACCTGCCCAGAATCCCACTCATAAGTCAGCTTGTTCTCTTTCAACATGTTTGGAGGTTGCTGTGCACTGAAGCTGGTTCCTTTAGACACGCTCTGCGTGCTCTCAGGCCGCAGACTGATGTCACGTTAGTGCTGGATTTTCCGTGTCGAGAGCAGCTGGTTTTATATGAAGCCACTGTGCTGTAATCTGATTCTCTGCACCATTCCCAAATGTGTGGACAAGCTCTGTATGTACCATGAAAACTAAATTATCATGTCTTTTCAGAGGCTGGGTGAGACTGCTGGGGTCTGGAAGGACGTGACTGTTCTCCAGTTTCGTTTTTACATCTAGAGGGGAAGAGATCTGCTCTGTGAATTTCTGTGAATCCTTACATTAGAAAGGTAGAAGTTTCAGTTGCACAAATGCTGTTCAAATCCCAACCTGTGTGTGGCTTGACAACAGAAAGGTAAAGGAGATAAGGCTGTATTTAATCCAATCATGCAAAAAACTCTTATCGCAATCAGTAACCCAATCCTCTGAAGGATTTCCATATGCTGGGGTTTTGAACAGCCAGTTGTTTCTTCATAGTGAAAGCTGACACTTATCAACCCGCTCTCAATTAATGCCTTGCTACTTGCCTTTGTCAAAGTTACAGTGGCCTTCCTGAAATTCAGTGTGTTTGCTTTACAATTGGAGAGAATTGTTCTGCAATACAGCCTGATAAAATGCTGCTCAGAAAGATAAATGCAGAGTAAAAGAAAATACAGCAGAAGGTGGTCTCAGGGGGAAAAAAAAAAAAGTAAATGGTAACTCAGTTTTCAATTTGTGTCAATGAAGTCAGAGAAATCAAGGCTAGACAGGACCATTTACTCAGCTAATCTGACTGTTTTACATAACATACCCCGAGTTCTCAGCTGTTTGCTTTCCATATTCAGCCCAATAACTTGCGTTTAACCTATGGACCTGTTCCAAACAAAGTATTTAACACAACCAAAGCTCCACAACTCTGCCAAGTGCTGATTCTGCACTAACAGTGGTTTCTAAATCACAGAATGCATTCAGGAAATGGAACCTGCCACTAGAAGGTGATACTACTGCTTTGAGTAAGGAAGGCAGTTTTGCATTCACTTGCAATGGGAAATATTTCACGTGTTACTTTTGCTGATGCCTTTGGACAGTAGTCATGTATTTTAATGTGGGGGGAGTGGCTCTTCTTTTGTGATTTTGAGTTGGTTTTGGTCTCTTAGAGTCTCGATGATACAAGGACTGAAGGATAGCAAGTAAAAATCCGCTAGCTTAATTAAGCTGTAGCTCCTCCCAACCTAGTGACAGACAAGTGGGTAGAGCTTTGTTCAAGCTCTTTTCACCAAGCCTGAAGGAACAGCGATAGAGCACACA